TTATAAGTATTTATAAGTGATACTGATATCTATGATGGGGACTTACATACCGACAAGAACTTCATTAATTTTGCTGGATCATTTTCATTATCTTTCGGCATTTTACTCTGATGTAGTGCGAAGCATTTCATTAAACTTTGTTCATCACCTATGAAAAGTTCGTCACAGCAGCCGTTCCGCTAAATAGATGAAAATCCATTTCTTTAGTTTCACTGAGATTAACACAAATGCGTAAAGAGACTTACACTTTTCATACATTTTGTCTCATCAAGAGCACTGATACTAACATCATTAGCATTACTACTGCTGCTAGGTGTAACGCTTTCAACCTCCTCTTTCGGTTCAATCGGACCATTTGGTTCTTCAGGTAAATCTTCACTTGCAATCAGATTCTATATAATAGCAATAGTATATTTTTACAAAAGTTTTCTTATAAATATTATTTACCACGATACATAAGGAAATTCCTACTAATATTATATTACGGCAACCAGTGATCCAAATTTTCATTATTTTAAAATCCGTAAGGCGCTGTTGTCTGCATCGAACGTTGAATAACTAAATGAGTTTCCTCAAACTGCTACCAAATTTTATATAAATAGATTTATTATATCAAATCCGATATAGGTTATTTACTGTTATCTGAATATTTATCGGTAGAAATGAGCCGTTTTATATGCGGTCATCAGTGGCTGAATGGCACAATTAATTTTGAAATGCATTAAATAAATTTAGAATTTAAAATTAAATTACAAATATTAATTGCTTAAAGTTAGGCTTCATTTAACAATTTATTAACTAAATTATGTATATTAATTGATTAAGATAATAAATTTCATATAAAAGCAGCGTAAAAGCAAGATAACTTACTATTCACCAAACTAACTTCAACATGAAATTACATCAAGCATTTGCGTTTGTGACTTTGCTAGTTGTGGTGAGTTAAGAAACTTTTTTTAGAATTTCACCTCGTACTCAAATTGATAATTTTTATTTTATTTTATTAGCATATTTGCGGTTTAAAAATTGATTGCGATAATCCCGATGGTATTAATGAAGATCATATACATTACTGTTGCAAACATCCAGAAAAACCCAATAAAGTGCTAGAGGATTGTTCAAAAGAAACTGGCTTTAAGTGGCCCAATCCCAAGGAGGAGGCTTTCATTGATATAACACCTGATCGCGCTATCGCTGGCACTTGTTTTAGCAAATGTGTTTTTAATAAACTTAATTTCATGAAAGGTGAAGACTTTAACATGGAAGCTGTTAAAAAATATTACAGTGATAATCATAGCAACGATCCTGAATATGTTAAGGAAATGTTGAATGCCTTTGATCATTGCCATGGCAAATGTAAGAAATCGTTGTTAATACCTTATCTTATATCTAAATTTATTACCATTTACAGCGGAAGACAACGCAGCTAAATTCCTATCGAATCCTATGTTCAAAACTTTGTCCGACGATTTTTGTGAACCCAAGTCCAGTGTTATACTAGCTTGTGTTATACGCCAATTTTTCCATAATTGCCCAATTGAACGTTGGTCGAAGTCTCCGGAATGCGATCGTGTGTTGGAGTTTAGTAAAAGCTGCAAAGATGCTTTGATTTCTATGTAAAATTAACCAAAAACTATAAATTTTTCATTTTTATGTATACCAATTGCATTGGTCTGATTGAGTTGCATATAGAAACGTTTACTACAAAATAAATTTGAATTTACCGATTTCATGTATGATATATTAAGAAGCCAATAAATTACACCAATTTGAACTTTTAAAATTGATTTCAGTATATATAAGATCAATGTTCTTGGGTACAGTTAGAGCTACATGCTTAACAGTTCGATAATATTAGGCTTGTTCTAACAAGCTAGCTAGGCGTGTCACTGTACAGCGCCAATGGATCTTCTCTCTCTCTCTCTCTCTTTCTCTCTTAAATTTCTTACCTTTATTAAAAAAATAATAAAATATGATTATAATTTATTTATAAATTATATTATAAATTTTATATAATTATATATAATATAATTTGCTAATTATAATTTAAATATTGCACTCACATATAATAACCATAAAACTTCACGTATCCACTTCAATAGCAAAATAGTCCTCTTTTCGTTTGTTAACGAACAACAACAAAGCATATATAGTCTCATATGATTTTGTAACGAGTAATCAATATACTTCGTGTCACTAAACGATACGCTAACAACGCGTTCCACCAGCAAATTTTCGAGTAAATGAGAGCATCTGAGAGTGCCTAACATCCCTGTCGAAATTTGAAAATGCTACATAGACTTTGCTCGTACATTTTATTTCAAGTAAAATTTGTGTTAATGTGTGGATCAGCTGTTTTGGTTTGAATTTAAATTTTTGTATTTTTATTTGCGCGGCACTGGTGTTCTCATCAGACTTTACACAAAACTGTATCATGAAAATTTGTGTAAAGAGCGAAATTTAACACAATACTTATGTTACGTTCTCAGTTTATACTTTACTCGTGCTTTACTTGACTTTTACTACGAGTAGCTCGTGGAACAGACCTAATATACTTCACAAAGTATAATTTTCTACTGATTTGCTTAACAATATCTGAATGACGTGTTCATTCTTATTTTATAAATTTACTATACAATTATAATTCTTTTGGAAATCAATTATTCGTAATACCCTCATACTAACAATTATCCTCAGCATCCATATTCGTATACGTAAATGTATGCTTAAATATGATGTCTTTTTGTTTTCTATATCGCTTATACCCATGAATATTAGAATAGCATTTTAGCAGTTGTGTTTTAACGGCCTAACGCTGCAAGCCGTCTTTTATACATACTTGAGAAGTGGTTTTGGTATGTTAAAGTCTCACCCTAGGCTTTCGATGTTACTCAAATACCGAAAAAATATAATGTATAAAAAAACTAAGCAAACTACCAAAAATGAAACTACTTAAAAATTATTTTTAACATACAAAATTATAGCATAGTCATAATTTTATATATTTCTGTTGATTTAAAAAGCTGTCACTAATTTTCATCAATTTTTTTAGAAATAAAAAATATAACATCCCTGATACAAATGAAAAGTCTTCCGAACAAAACGTAAAAGCGCCAACAAGTATTTGAATGAAATTTATAAGAAATACAAAAGCAGTAAGTGTATTATTGCTCGTTCTTTAACAATATGTATAGATTAATATGTAATAGATTGCTTTTAAGAAGACAACACAAGAAAACAGTAAAAGTATTCGAAATGGAAGGTTCAAACAAACTATCCGAGGTGCAACAAAAGAAGGACAATCTTAGCAAGGATAGAGGTATTACTTATTTGATATTTTTGCATATTATATTTTAATATATTGCAATTATTTTATTATTTTGTTATAGATTTAAAACTGCAAAGAAAGATTTTATATGAGTTAGCATGTTATGTCCGAATTTCTTCCTCTAACATTAACGCCTTAAAAACATCAGATTTATTGAATGCAGATGCAAGCGAGCCACCAAAAAATCCAAATGAGGCGTTTGAGGCATTGGGTAACTCAAGAAAATGCTCTATGTCTGGTATTGAGAAGAAAGAAAACGTTGGAAATTTCGGTGTCAATGAGAAACTTAAAACCATTTCTGATGTGAATGATAAACTTAATACCAGGGAAGATTTGAGGGTTACGATAAACTCTAAAAAAGGTCCCGAATATAAGCGTCTCAAGAAAAACCACTACCTTCGTATATAATATGACTATATAATATTTATTTAACTGAACTCCAAACTAACCGTTTAACATATCATTTTATAATTTTACAAACAACTTCTTTTGTTATACAGTTCTTAATTTTATTTTGTATTAAAGATTAATAGATTATTATTAAAAATTTTTATAACTAAAATTTATTGAATTTTATAATTAAAATGTATTTATTCCATATATAAAAATATATACGATGACAGTTATTGTGGATTGGGTAGTGGTAGTATTATCATCAATGCTGAAGTACTCCTCCACGCTGTCAACGATATTCCATTAGCAAGGAGAGCGTACTAAGCAGGCTCATTCAAGAATGGTAGAACTATTCAAACTAAAATAATTATAATTTGTAGAACAAATCAAATTAAGTTTATGACTTAAGCCATTCTTTTACTATGTCACAAAACAAGTATTCTTGATACTAAAAAATTTATCTAAACGTTAATGTTGACTGAGATATATAAATGGATTTCAGTCCGTTACAGCTATATCTACACTAATGCTCTGTTTACTAGAATTGGAGTGATAACAATAATAGAAAATAAAATTCGATAATTAACATTCCTTTTAATTTTATTAATAATAATATTATATTAGATTCACATGGAAATTAAGGCATCCTTGCACTTTTTAGCAAATTCAAGAGTTTCTTCACATTCTTTAGTTTTTGCCCAGCGATCCTTTGGACAATTATGAAAGAAATTATATATAACACAAGATAGTACAACACTTGGCTTCGGATCACAAAATTTTACATTCTTTATACGAAAGAAAGGAAAGGACATTAGCTTAGCAGTTTCCTCCTCAGCTGAAATTTTATACAAAAGATTTGAATTAAAAATAAGGAAAATCATTAAACAAATCGTGTATAATATATTTACATCTGCTGTGGCAATGATCAAATGCTGATATCATTTCACGCTCGTATTCTGGATCCATTTTATGTACTTCCTTGTAATGTTGTCTAACAGCGTTCATATCCAATTCATGGTTTTTAAAAAATTTGAACTTTTGAAAAACGCATTTTCCGAAACATGTACCAGCTACTAATTGTGCCACTGTGACATCCTCTAAAGCTTCTTCATCCTTTGAAGGTAGTTTAAATTTTGTTTCGTTTGCGCACATTTCAATAATGTCATTATGTCCATCAGGATGTTTGCAGCAATAATGTATGTGATCCTCTCGAATAGTCTCGGGATGGTTGCATCTTACTTTGATGGACACTGTAAGACCCTGTACAACAGAAAAAAGTAATAATTATTATTTTATGAATTTTTTTTTATATAAATATCATTATTTACCACAAAAAATATTATCAATACACAGATTGGTTTAAGTGTCCACATTTTGTAAAGTTAGATTAGCCTAAACTGAAAATTTTGTGATCCATTTCAGTGCGTTTTTAAACTAAAACTGAGGCTGTTGGTGCGGAAAATTTAATTAATCAAATTATTTATTTTAATTGCTCTTAAACTTTAAACGTTTCATTAAATTTGTGCAGAATTTTGGGTCAAAAATTAAAAATATTTTTAACTAATTTATCTAACAAATATATAGATGTGTTTGAAATATAAAATATCTTTCCGACGCTCTTCCGACAAGAGAAAATCAGTCTATATTTGTTAACATAACTGCTTTGTAATATGCAAGCTGGCAAAGTCTGAATGGCTAAACAATACTCTAGCGTCTCAGGGAGTAGGTGGCGGTAAAGACCGTCCACTAAGTTCCAGCTTATCAGCCAGACTCGTAAGGGTAAGTGCGACAATCTCTCAGGCTGATGGGAAGCTCTTGATATGGTCATGTCTCTGCCAAGGGTGGACTGCTGATTGTCGGGCTGGGAAGAGAAAACTTCCCGGGTACGTATTTATAGTAATATTTGTTTTGATATGTGTAGCTTTAAAATTTGTACGATACCTATAAAAACCCCCAAATCTGAGGTAGACTGTTACGCCGAGGATGCTTGACTGGAGGGGTGCATCCAGTCTTTTAGTAATGAACTCAGGATACCGGGCACTCTCCTGTTTTAATTAATGCCTTCTCAAAGTATGGGGCTCTGCTTTGGGTGACTGTTCTTTCCCTTATATTAAACACTGTATATGGATAATAAACTAAATATACCAATTAATAATATAATTACAGAGTCAGAGGAAGAAGCTCTACTCCGTTCGCCAACGAAGGTTGGAGGAAATCTTGAAAAGAGGCTTGAAGCATCTCTCAAGATTCAGGATCTGGATGATCTGAACCCATCTGCTCAGAGACCAATGGTATCAAGCGGTGGGAACACCTCTCCGGTGATTGACACCCAGAGTCCTATGGACACAGGTGACCACGATGGCGGTGCGTCTAATGCTAATACCCAGAGCATGGTGAACTCAGGTGACGGCAACATAGAGACCAGGAAGAAAGCGGAATACTTCACCGGGGCTCAGAAAAGACGCATCAAGGCCATGATTAGGGATGGATTGGATTTGGAGACTGCGAAGCAGAAAGAGAGAGAGCGATACTCTCTCTACAAAGCTTCCTTGGCAGCAGAAGGAGAAAGTGACAGACCCAGTACCAGCAAAAGGTGCAGATCTAATAACACATCTCCCGAAGAAACACAACGCCCGCAGCCCAAAAAGCCAAAAGCCACTCAACACACATCTAGCTCTACCGGAAACCAGCTAAAACCGACTCCATCTTACAGGGATGTAGCCAATGCTTGCAAAGTGGCTATCGCCCATGAGAAATATCCGGAGGTGAATCTAACTGGTGACCAAATGGAGTTGATAAAATCGAAGCTCCTGGAAGAAATTGACAAACTTCCCAAGCACAATAGTGTCTACGGCTTCATCACCAGTGTTAACAGAGACGGATGGCTCTCATTAACATGCTGCAATGGTGAAACGAGGAACTGGCTGACCACCTGTGTCCCAAAACTCAAACCATTCCCGGATGCTATTCTCAAAGTGTTTCAGGGCGAAGAGATGCCCAAAACCTATGTGTGCATCACATTTATTCCCCCCTCTGCTGTGCTACCACCAGAAATTCTGATGTCCCGATTGGAAAAACAAAATGGTGGCATTTGCACATCATCGTGGAGAATTCTCAGGACTGAGAAAGATAAGAATGGTGGGGAAACCGTTACGATCTCAGTGGACGAAAAATCCAAAAATTGGATAGTCGGTCAGGCAGGGAAGCTGTATCTGAACTTCACACAAATTCACGTACGTGTGAAGGGAGAGCCAACTGGACCCAAGAAACTGACGACAAAAAGGCCATTTACGACAGAGAAACCCAGTGACGTCAAGCAACAGGTGCCTCCATCCAAAAGGCCGCTTTCAGGTGATAGACCCAGTACCTCAAAAGCACAGGCAGATAAGCCAAGTGAGACGGTTAAGGTCACACGGGACAGCACCCGAACTGAAGTCGGACCCAGCACCTCAAAACAGCAGGGTGGCACACCGGTATCTAGCATAAAGGACCAGAAGCAAGGGCCAAAGAAACCAGCTTCAAGATCCCCTCGACAGGAAGCACCCACTCATGGGACAAAATTGCCCAAGTGGATGCGGAACGGTAAAGGACGATACCAATAAAATGATGAGGTGCCTGCAGGTTAATCTTCAACACGCCAAAGCTGCTACGGCGGTGTTGACACAGCGACTTCTATCTGAAAAGATTGACCTAGCCTTTATCCAGGAGCCATATGTATATGAGAACCAGATAAAGGGAATAAAAGGTAAGCTACTGTACGATCATGCTAGCCATGGTCGACCTCGTGCTTGTATTGTGGTAAGAGATGACATTAATGCTTTCATTATTCCACAGCACACCAACAAGGACCAGGTAGCAGCTATAATTTCTGTGGACACCCCAGTAAGTAAGACAGAGCTCATTGTCTGCTCATCTTACCTACCTGGAGACTCCCAAGACCTGGACTTCCTATCACTGAAAGGACTAGTAGACTACAGTGTTAAAAGCAAGAGGTAACTCATCGTTGGAAGTGACGCTAATGCACACCACACGATCTGGGGCAGCACCGACATCAATAAAAGAGGTGAGTGTCTATTTGAATTTATAACTGGTAACAACCTATATATTTTGAATACGGGCAATAAGCCCACTTTTATAAACAGAATCAGGGAAGAGGTATTAGACATCACCCTAGCAACACAATTTATAAAACATTTTATCAAAAACTGGAATGTTTCAGCAGAAACATCCATGTCTGATCATCGTCAGATTAGATTTGATATTGATCTAAATATGAAGGTAAGGGAATCGTATAGGGTGCCTAGGGCCACAGAATGGGATCTTTATACTGACGAACTCAAGGCCAATCTAGGCAGTAATAAACATACGATAAAAAATATTCATGATTTAGAAATAGCTGATGCTGCCTTAAGCACAACTATTATAAATGCCTACCATGGGGCCTGTCCGGTGAAAAATAAGACCGGCAACAGAAGTGCACCATGGTGGAATAAAAAGTTAGCCAAGCTAAGAGTCGAATCCCGGAGACTCTTCAACAAGGCAAAAACCAACGGTGAATGGGACAATTATAAAAATGCCCTCACCGCCTACAATAAAGAAATTAGAAGGGCAAAAAGAGAATCATGGAGAGGCTTTTGCTCAGAGATTCAAAACTTAAGCAATAGCGCAAAAATCCACAGAGTTATCTCGAAAAGCCACACTAATCCCATTGGGCTTCTAAAACGACCTGATGGTCTTTATACCAATGACTGCAAAGAGTCACTTATACTTCTAACAGAAGTACACTTTCCGGGATCTACAATTTACGACCAATCAATCTCCCAGCTTAGTTCCCTGGTGACCAAAAGGCCCAGAAACAATGACTGGAAGATTGCTCGTAAAATCTTCACTGAAGATAAAATTAAATGGGCGATCAACTCATTTTCTCCTTTCAAAGCCCCTGGAGCAGACGGAATATTTCCAGCACTCCTACAAAAGGGACTAATTCACCTTATGCCCCACCTCATTAATATCTTTAGAGCTGGGCTGGCGATGGGAATCATTCCCACTAATTGGAAGTAAGCAATTGTCAAATACATACCTAAAGGAGGAGGTAAACCTAGCGAACTTCCTAAATCCCATAGGCCTATAAATTTGACTACATTTCTTTTAAAAACTATGGAGAAGATAGTGGAAAGGCATATAAGGGAAGAGTATTTATCTATAAATCCACTCCACGCCAACCAGTACGCCTACCAACAAAATAAATCCACCACACATGCATTACTCAGTCTTACTAATAAAATACAGGAGTCTGTAGATTGCAAAGAATTTGCGGTGGGATGCTTTCTTGATATTGAGGGAGCGTTTGACAATACTGATCACTCACATATCGAAAGATGCCTCCATGACAGAGGAGTAGATGATACGACACACACATGGATAAGCAATGTACTAAGAAATAGAATGATTAAATCCACTCTCGGCAATGCCGAAATAAAAGCACATACTGTAAAAGGATGCCCACAAGGGGGTGTATTATCCCCACTCCTGTGGTCAATTGCAGTAGACAAGCTCTTGCATCGACTCAGTGCCAAACATTTCGAGGCACAAGGCTATGCTGACGATATAGTCATACTTGTCAGGGGTAAATATGAAGACATGATCTCATATCGACTCCAGCAAGCCCTGAACATCGTTAGTAGATGGTGCAGTGAAGTAGGATTAAATGTAAATCCTAAGAAAACAAGTCTGGTAGTCTTCACAAAGAAAAGGAAAAGAGTACTTTCCAATTACCCATTCCTAAATGGAGAAGAGCTATCTTCCGTTACCCAAGTAAAATACCTGGGAATGATTCTGGATGAGAAGTTGACGTGGAATTCTCATGTAGACAATGTTATACGAAGAGCCAGAGAGGCATTATGGACCAGCAGAAACCTCATTGGTAAGCACTGGGGCCTTAATGCAAAACTCAGCCTTTGGATGTACACATCTATTGCCAAACCAATTGTAACTTATGGGTCAGCTATCTGGTACAAAAAAGCACAACAGAAGACTGTAATAGATAAACTTCGTAAGCTGCAGAGATTAGCCTGCATAATGACAAGTGGAGCGATGAGAACCACCCCGACAGCAGCTCTAGAGGTTGCATTGGGGCTCCCCCCACTTCACCTACTAGTCAAAAAGGAAGCAATGACTTTTATGGCCAAGCTACAGTTGACTAGCAATCAATCAACAAGACTACTCGATAACTCCCTGTTAGGTAGGGAAATGCAAAGAGAGGAAGGACTAAGTATCACCATATCTGACATTTGCTTACCTAAATTCAACTTTCACCAAAAGTTCCTAATACTAATACCAGACAGAAATGAATGGGAACGGAACATACCTCCATTCGCTGAAGACTACCATCTGTGGTACACGGATGGCTCCAAAACGATGGAAGGAGTGGGGGCGGGAGTATATGGAGTAAGACCTAAAGAGGAAATATTTGCAAGTATGAGTAAAGAAAACTCAGTTTTTCAGGTTGAAGTACATGCAATTGAATTATGTCTCAGGGTATATAAAGGTAAACCCGTCACAGGAAAAAACATATATATCTTTTCTGACAGTAAATCGGCACTCGTGGCACTACTCTCACCTCGAGTAACCTCAAAAATAGTGTGGGAATGCCTTCTACTTCTCAAAGACCTTGCTGAAAGGAACAGAGTCCACTTAATATGGATTCCAGGGCACAGCGGTTTTGAGGGAAACGAAAAAGCAGATGAACTAGCGAGAAAAGGGGCGGCCTCATACTATATTGGGCCACAACCATTCCGCGGTCCTTCGTGGAGCTTTTTCAAACTTAAAACTAATGAATGGCTGGAGAGAGCAGCTCAGAATGATTGGGATAATACAATTACCTGCAGACAAGCAAAAGAATTCATGCCGTTTCGATCAAAAGCCAGAACTAGGGAGCTACTTATGCTGAACAGAAGTGGCATCCGACTTGTCACAGGTTTTCTAACTGGACACTGCGGAGTTAAAAAACATTTATTGAATCTATGTATTACTGGAGACGATAGCTGTAGACTTTGCTACGAAGAAGAGGAAACAGCAGAACACATATTGTGTCACTGTGATAGTCTTGCAAGACTCAGACTTTGTTACTTATCCATTACCTATACGCTTATAACGGAAGTAGGCAACATCACTCCAAAGGACATACTGGCATTCTTAACTGCTACTCGTCTATGGAACTGAAGTGGGTATGTCAGAATAAACCTCGAGGATGCAGTGACGCGGAGACTACTTCCCAACCCTTCTTTTGAAAAAAAAAAAAAAAAAAAAAA